CAGAAGCTTTGACAGACCTTCATTCCGCTACTCCAACACGCCTCACTGCCGCCGACTCCTCGGATCCATCGCCTCATTCCGCCTATACTGCCTCTGCTCCTTCGTCCCCAAACTCCCACCCCCTCCCTCACTCCTCCTCTCCCACCCGCCCATCCTCACAACCAACGCCGTCGCATTATCCGCATCCTCACTGACCTCCACCGCAAACCCCACCAAATCATTCGCCGCCTGCGCTGGGGTCTTGGCATCTTTCACCACATCCACAATCTCCTGGTCGCTCAGATGTCCGCTAATGCCATCGCTCATCAACACCATGAACGCAAAGCCAGCAGGCGGGACCTGCACCTTGGTGATCTGAGGTTCCGCGCTCACGCCGATGCGTTTGGATGCGATGTCGCCGAAGGCGCGCGTGTTGGCGAGCCCGAGCACGCGTTCTTCGCCAAAGGAGTCGGTGGTGAAGGAAGCGGCGTAGCGGCGCATTCGGGTCGCTTCGACGGGGGCGGAGGGGTGGTGGTTTGTTGTCAAGGGCACTGCTTTGCCGTCAGAGGTGCGGCAGAGGAGGATGCGGGTGTCGCCGACGTGGGCAACAAGGATAGTGGAAGGCGAGGACGGGTTCCAGAAGGGGGTAGGGGATGATGTGGAGATGAGGGCGACGGAGGCTGTAGAGCCGCCTTTGAAGCGCGTGGAGCCGCCGATGGGAGCGCTGAGGTCGGGTGATGACGAAGGTCGGGCAGAATGGCGGGAGCGGAGATTCTGGGAGGCAGGACGGTCGGGGTGGAAGAGGAGATCGTTCTCGTTAAGAGGTTTGTCGGAGAGAACAGGGTCGTCGGCGGTTGCCCTCTCCTTTTCGGTGTGCTTGCTGGCTTGAGCGGTGGTGAAGTCCAGGTCGGCTTTGAGGAAGGCGTAGGACATGATGGTCTCGACGGAGCTGTTATTAATATTCTCGGTTTTGTCGTCGTCGTCTCGAACTGCCACTGCTGGGAAGTATTCTGGTTTGAATCGTTTGAAGTACCCTCCAACAGTCTCTCGCCACGTGCTGACCAGACTTTTCTGCAAATCTTCCGCGTCCTGCTCTCCCATCACACCGCCCTCTGAGTCGGCATCCTCCACACTCCCCGGCTGCAACGACGACTCCATTCCGAATAAAAGTGCAGCCTCTTCAACATAGCCATGCAATCGATCCCTCAAGAACTCCGAGCACTCCGCCCCGCCATGCCCATCGTACACACCGAAGAAGAAGACCTGCGGATCGCCGCTCTCACTCTTCGCACCCTCTACGTCGTCCTCTTCACCACCAGATTTCCGCCGAGCATGGCTGGTAGGCTGCCTCTTCGCGAACGATGGAATCTCAATCGTCCCTGCTTGATATGTATCTTCGTTGTACGGCCGACTGCCTCGACTCACGCCTGCGCCAAAGTGGTGCTTTGCACTCTTGATTGGTATGCGAACGATGGTGGTGTCTCTGCTTCCTTGGGAGGTGTTGGCACTTCGTCCAGATGATCCTGAATGCGGTGAAGACTCGTTTCGGGGCAGCTTATGATGTCCCCCCTGTTGCCGATCCGGTGCAAGAGAAGACGATGGCAAGTGCGTGACGAAGTACTCGTGGAAAGCTCGTCGTTGGGTAATGGTAGGCCCCGCTCTCCTGACGACCAATGTCTCATTGAAGGCGGCTCGTAGGGCATTGGTGATGCTGTAGGGAGTCCCCAAGTGCGCCATGGTATCGGCCGGTAGGCGCGCCTGGCGCTGAAAGCTTAGGGATATTTACAACATGTCTAAGTTTGTGTTGGTGAAAGCTCGCAGCGGGGAGGTCGTGAAGTGAGGTCGTATACAGCACGTGGAGCCGATCCAGCGCGCCATTTATCCGAGGCCACCACTTCACCCTGATGTCACTTGTTCGACCACTTCACTTCCATCTTCCACCAACAAAAACCCCAATATTACCCATTCGAACACATCACCATATCGAGCGCAACAGACAAGCGCGATGATAAAGTCCACTACAAGAGCACCAAGGCCTTGACTATCTCGGATGGAAAGATACACCACAATACCTGCATATGTCGTGTCCCAGCAATCCCAGTATGGCTGGCAGCGTATCTCGTAATGTCGTCGTTGGAGGCGTAAGTAATGTTTCGATTTGCATAGTGCATAGGTAAGTCCAGCGGTACCAGTAGGTGCATGTGACAGCACATGTTGCGAACAGACACTAGGTGACATCGAAACAAGCAAAATCATTATTTATCAACTGGATCCTTATTTCCATCATAGTTTGGAAGATGTGTTGCGATCAGACGGCAGGACGATATGGAAATTGAATGCTGGATTGGAGAGGGCGATGCAATTGGACGGCATGACGCATCTGGGAGTGAATGCTCGACCAGGGACCCACGGGTCTCACATTCACTCGAAGCATGTGAATCCGCGCTAAGCAAGTTCACCTGGATTAGCTGCCTGACGTGAGAAATCAACCTCACACTCTTTACCTCACCATCTCAAATCTTGTACCTTCAACATGGCGGCTCAATCCAAGTTCGACAGGATGGACGACAGCGACGCAAACCTGAAGGGCGGTCACGGTGAATTCGAGCAGGATCTTCAAGCAGTCGTAGACCTGCACGCCAAAGGAAAGCTCAAGGAGTGTGTCGAAGCTGGAAAACGCAGCATTAAGAAGGACAGCATACACTCCGGCTACGTCCTTCAACACCTGCTTACCATGGCTGATGCCGAGGGCGACTGGTGGGAGGCAGAAGTGCGTACACTTCCAACCTGCGACCGCCATTAATCCTATTGCTGACACTTTTACCACAGAAGTTCAGCCTGCAAGCTGAGAAGTCCTATGTCGACTTGAAGTCCAAGACTGGGACTGGTAAAGCGGAGCAAGACGTTCTAGGTGAGCTACGAAGGGATCTAGACACGCTGAAACTGGGGATGAAGGTGCAGGGTAGGCCCATCGCGGCGAAGATGGCGGCCACTGCCAAGAAGAGCGGTCAGAAGATTGATCAGCCGGAAGGTTGGATCCCGGAGTGTGAGGTGGTGGAGGTGAAGGGGGAGTACTACCGCGCTTTGAGATACGTGCCGGTCCATGATGATCCTGAGGTTGCAAAAAAGGTCGACGCTCTGGGTGGGGAGTTCGGCAGACGCAGGCGGAATGGTCTCGCATGATCGGGCGCTGGAGTTGATCTGGGCGAGAAACGCGACGCAACAAAGTTGCAGGCTGGCGAGGCATCAATCTGTCCGGGACGAGAAGTCGGCAGAAGCACTAGGAAATACGAACAGTACGGTATAGGCCTCACGTTAGAGCAACCCTGCGTAAGTCAAATTAGTGAGCCCTGTTTCACACTTTCACATGAACAATCTTGGCGCAGCCTGCGTTTGCCGTGGATCCCAATGAAAAAGTTGCAGTCTTATGAACTTCACCACCTATATCACAACGCATTCACAACCACCCACGACATCAACGAGACATGGCGTCTGCCTCCACAAACGAGAACACACTTCGTACATACTATGCCCTGGACGAGAGCGTGAGTCGGTTTCCGATCTCTCCGCACCTGTATAAAGCTGACTCCGTGAAAGATGATGAAAGACCATCGCAAGGGTGATGATGCCAGTCATGTTCGCAGTCGCCAAACCGCAAAGGAGCTTTTGGGGCATGCTGAGCTGCCGCTCATCGTAAGTGTATACTGCGAAAGGTATTGCTGGCTACTGACACTCTTCTGTTCAGATCCGCGCAAGGGCATGCATGATACTGGGCTGCGGTACTGAATCCGGGTACCTCGACATGCGAAGGAGGGGGTGCGGATCGCTCGAATAGTGAACGATAATACCACTTCGGTAAGTGGATCTGCATGATTTCCCAGATGGCCCAAGTTGCGGAGCCCCGCCTGCCCTTGCCCTTGTGGGCTCGGTGTGAACCAGAGACCGTGATCAAGGCTGGCGGTCTCTTTGCCAGCCACGTACGTGAGCCCTGCTTACGCATTTGGGATGCTAGCCGACCGACTATCAAAAGCAGCCCCTCGCAAACTGCAAGACGGTACTCGAAGAGGCTCAGAAGGACTACGAAGAGACTGGCGATGGCGTGGACGATGAAGAGAGTGTCGAGGACGCGCCAGGTGATGATGAGGTCGTCGTGTGGGAGGCAAGTGCGGATGGGTCGGGAGAGGTGGGATCGGAGGGTGCTGCTAGGAAGGCAAAGAAGGCGGAGTAAAGAGGTAGCTGTCTGCATAGCGGACAGCTGTGTAGATGTGATGTGGTCGAAGTCCGTTATGCTTCGTGCTGGTTTATTCCACGCGCTGCATATAACGCTGCCATGCTGGCGGATCTGCAGCTGTATAACAATGTTTACAACAGTGCTGCAACGTTTTCGTGTAGTAATGCGAGTTCGTACGCTACGGGAATGAGCTCGAAGATCTGGGGTGGAAAGAGAGATAGGGTGAGGAAGGAGCATGCCACGTGGATGTCGACCTCACCTCATCGCATGGATCCTCGAAAGTTGCACATACGAATGCACAAGCTGCAAGCTTGTGCATGCGACGAGTACGAACGGTTGTGAAACCCGGGCGGACGTTTATTTGCGGCATTCATGGTTACACCCGATATCCCTTTGGAGTGTAAAAGGCGTCGCTGCATCCGGTAAGGCGATCGAAGGACGACTTCGATCGCACTACCGTAGAGCTATCCTTACTCTTTCTTGGACATGGCAGAGTGCTCCAACATGGTTCGTGGCAGATATAACCTCACATCGATCAAAACACTGCTACGGGAACGGAATTCGTCGTAAAGATAACAAAATGAAGCTGAGCGGTTTGTAGAACAGTTTCGAATCGATTTGAATAATCAAGACTGTACGTAATGCCTAAAAGGGAAGCTCTTCTGAGCCCATATGTGTTTGACAATGCGAGACGTTGCTTGGAGTCGTTTTCCGTCGGCGAATCCTCGGGAGGAAGTTGTAAGGTATTATAATGGTAGTTTAAAACAGTTTCGGTATTCAACCACTGCTTGCCCCCATAGTTTAATGGTTAGAACATCGGTCTCATAGCTCGCTTAGGCGTTATGATCGTGTGCAAAACATGCGGATATCCGGTGATCCAAGTTCGATTCTTGGTGGAGTACGTTGTCGACCGATTACTTGTTGTTTGGACATTGATTAACAGTGTTCATTAGGGCAGACAACCAACCATATCTTTTTGCCAATCCCATGGTCGATCTGGACAAGTAGATGCACAACTTCTGCGGCTCTACGAGCCTACTTCACCTAGAAATAAACTTCTAGGTGCTATCTCGAACTTGGATCAACCGGATATCCGCATGTTTTGCACACGATCATAACGCCTAAGCGAGCTATGAGACCGATGGGCGCCGGCCGCTTCGCGGCCGGTCAACTCAATCTGAAGTTATCAATATTTTCCAGCCTCTTACCGTTTTGGGCGTTGGTGAATGTTGGAGCAGAACAGTCACGTGCTAAACATCCGGAAAATAGGTAGGTTGTGCTTGCTATAGGGTTTTCTCTTTTGCAATTTGCATCTATCAACTTTATCTGCTATCAACATTTCACGGCAGGGGCAGGAAAGGTAGGCACGTTTCTTTCAGTGCCCAGAACGGGAAATCTTTTTATGCTTGGAGGCTCTGGCCACGTGCAAGATCGACTGGGTAAATGGCCCCAGCTTCTTGGAGACCATTTGGCAACTCCGTTCTTTTCAACCAACGATGTGCCATTGTGGACTCGCCTCGAGCCACGATCTTCTCCGGGAAGCCATCCTGTCAACAATGTTACAGTTGATGGTGATATAAGATCCACCTCTTGTACCTTGCTTCAGAAGAGCCTACCTCTCCAGGACAAGTACTACTATTCTTCCCCATTGTGCCATCTCAACCGCTTCTCACATAAAGACTTCAGGCAAGATGCACGCGCTCACCCGAGTCGCTGCTGTTGCAGCTCTCGTGGCCTCTTGTTCCGCCGCCTTAGATCCATCAAAATACGTCCAATACTCGACAGTAACAGGATACTTCCTCCAGGATGAGCCAGACACCAACTCCTCCACGTTCGACTACGTATGCTCTCATGCCCTTTCATGGGCAAGATCCGTACTAACACCGAACGCTCCTAGACGGAAAACAACTTCGGCCTGATCAAGCGCAACTATCCTGCTACGAATGGGCTGTCGGCAAAGCTCACGCAGTGGCAAAAGTTCAAGAAGCAGGTCGATGTACTCAATGCAAAGGCTTCTGCCGACACCGTCTACAAGGTGTTGTTCCTCGGACGACATGGCGAGGGCTACCACAATGCAGCAGAGAGCTTGTAAGTCCTTCTTATTTTATGCTGTAGTACAGTTACTAATCTCCTCCAAGCTATGGCACGCCGGCTTGGAACTGCTATTGGGCCGAGCTGAATGGCAATGAGACCGTCCGCTGGGCAGATGCAAAGATCACAGCTCTCGGTATCGAGCAGGCTCAGGTTGCACACGATTTCTGGCAGCAAGAAATCGACGAGCAAAAGATCCAGGTTCCGCAGTCGTACTACACCTCGCCGCTCAGTCGGTGCTTGCAGACGGCCGAGATCACCTTCTCCGGTCTCGATCTGCCCGCCAAGTACCCTTTCGTCCCCACCGTGAAGGAGCTGCTTAGAGAGGGGATCTCGATCCATACTTGCGACCACCGACGGAGCAAGTCGTACATCGAGGAGAAATTCCCATCTTACGTCATCGAAGCCGACTTCAGCGAAGACGATGAGCTGTGGAATGGTGTAACGAAAGAAGTTCCCGATGCTCAAGACGTTCGCTCGAAGAAGTGGCTCGACCAAGTCTTCCACGAGGACGACTCCACGTGGATCTCGGTTACTTCTCACAGCGGCGAGATCGCATCGACTCTGCGTGTTCTCGGGCATCAGGTATTTTCGCTAGCCACCGGTGCGGTGATTCCTGTGCTGGTCAAGGCGAAGTTCCTGCCAGCGAGTGAGAAGCCACCTCCAACACCGATTTCGTGGACGGCCAGCTCGCATTGCACTTCGCCACCCAAGACGAGTATCGAGTCGAAGGATCAGGGATGCAGGTGTACTGGATCAAAAGTGACAACGCCCTTGGTCAAGGTCACGAACACCAATACTGCCGGTCCTACGAGTTATCCTGGACCATACCGTCGGGGAATTTGAGCGGCTGGTCTTGCGAGTGCGTCAGCTTCCAGTGGGAACCATGATCGTTGGAGATAAGATGGTGGTTAGCAGATCCGCATAGCAGCAAGCATGTGCAAAGCTCTGTAAGGTAATCGAACTGTAGATATTTGCAAATGAAATTTATCTCAATGCACTTGCTGAGAAATGGATCGCCGATACCGCAGGCTGTAGGGCGTAGTCTGTCACCGTACGGGCTGGGGTTCTTGGGAAGATACCTTAGATCTGCACAACCCCACTCACTTCCAGAGCAACAGTTTCCTCCCAACTAGGCAGGTGCTCATAGCCACTCGACGGGCGTGCGATTTATATCGTTGCCTCCGACTCAAACTTCACTCTCGATCAAGAAACAATGGCTCCTTCAGAGAAACTAAAAGAAGACAACCCAATCTACTTCGGCGGCAGCTGCGCCTGCGGACGCATTACCTACGAATCTCGCTGCATGCCAACCAGCTCATCGGCCTGCCACTGCGTGACCTGTCGGAAGTTAAGCGGCGCCGCATTTCAATGCTTTCCGGACGTTAGCTCCAAGGAAGTCACTTTCTACGATAACAAGGAGCATCTCCGACACGAAGGTCTACCAAAGGACGACATCGGTGGTCTCGAGTTCCTACGACTCTCGTCAGCCGGCGAGAGAGCTTTCTGTGTCGATTGCCACACGCCGTTGGCGATGCGGTATAAGCACCAGCCAGATGTTACTGGCATAACGTTGGGCTCCGTGGATGAGCAGACGATTCTAGATGAAAGGGTTAAAGAGGCTTTGAGGCCGAAGGCGAGGATCTTCATGGAGCAGAATGCGTGGTGGTTCGAACCGAAGGACGATGGATTAAGGACGCATCAGAGGTTTGGTGGGAGTTTCGAGCAGGACATGAAGGCCTGGGAGCTTAGAGCGAGGAGAACTGCGAAGATGTGATCTAGCACTAGCTTTGCGTACCACATGAACAAGATCTAGCTGTCTGTGCCACAAACAGGCTTTCGCCTCATCCGCTTGGAGATCTTCATGCATGCGCCACGGCCTGTATCGACTGCGCAGATGTCACTCCCAGCCTCGCATATTGTCCTAGAACTTCGTCATCTGGTTGGCTGCAGCTCTGTTGCTTCGAGCTTGATCGATCAGGCCACGGCTTCTCCCTTCGACCTATCCGCAGACCCGATAGTAACCTCCAGCCTTGTCCCGTGGGCTTTATCAATCTTGATGCTGCCGCTCCAGTGGAATGCGGGAGCATCGTGGTTGAATTTGCATGACAGTCAACCTAGACTCATCGAACATGCGCAATCTGTTCGCTCAGGTCTTGTGTCGCTCAGCTGTTAATCGCCTCCGCCAATGCCGACTTCAATTTTTGGGGCTACCCGCCCTGCGCGCAAACTTATGTCGAAAACCTCGCACCGGCTCGCTGCGACTACGGCACAGCCGACCTTCAGGAGACCGCCAGAACATACGATTGTCTTTGTTCAGACGTGGAATTCCTGAAAGACATTGCATCAGCGATATACAACAACTGTGGTTGTAGCGACCTTACCAGCTCCGCGAACTGGGTATGGAATGGATGCGAATCAGCAGCTACACCTTCGGTTCTTAGCACAGAAGAGATTATTGGGGCAGGAGACGGTGGCCAGTCTAGCTGTGGTGACGAGGCGGTAAATGGAGGCGGTACATCTTCTGCTATCGCATCGTCGAAAGCAGGCACTGAAGGCGGCCCTGCTACCTCTCCCACAGCGGCTTCGACTGGCGGGAACAGCGACCCGAACGATTCTCCAACGAGCGATAAGATAGCGCTGGGCGTGGGTATTGGCATAGGGCTGCTGACGGTCGTCATTGCCGCAGTGACACTATGGTTTATGATACGGCGACGTCGGGGGTGACGGGTCTTGGTCGTCTGCGTAGGCTGATGAAAGTTGCCGTCGAGAGACCAGGTAGTTGTAGCAGTGGTAAGGTGATCGCGTTCCCTGGCATCATCCAACCCTAGCGTGAGGTCATACATCGCCGATCTGCGGTTGATGGACAATTATCGGAACAGCCTGCAACGATGTGCCGCTCTCTCCACCTCCAATACTGAATCTCAGGTCTCCTACGCCACTTTCCGGCACATGCTCAGTCGAGTAGGCGAAGTCGTCTAACCGGTATCGAGTCTATACGCCAGATTCCGGGAATCTTCGGCTAAGAAAAATCCGAATGGTTCTCAGTTCGCCACGAACATTAGGTCTCCAGCAGTTGAGTGTGAACTGGACTTTACGTAGATTGTTCCGCTGATCGAAAATGCTGTTGTATTCCCACGCATCGGCGGACGGTATAGGCATGCGGATGCCTTGTTGTGTCCAGCTTAGCCCTCCTTCGGCGCGGCGGCTGCTTTTATCTTTGCCCTTGATAGTCAACGCTCCGCAGTCTCGAAAACATTGCGGCGAAGGTGCCAGAAGACCCCAGTCGCCCCGTTTACATTGGGAGTCGTCCATTGCAATTGGTAGATTGTGTTTGCTAGCTTTCCAGGCAAACAACGATTCATCAGTGGACTGCTCCATCAGCGCCCGTTGGAGTCTTAAGAATGACTTTTCCCGCTCTCCGTAGACTGGCGTCAAGTTGATGTCGAAGAGTCCAAGAAGACTGTAAGCCATATCCTCTATGCGCGTAGTCGTCCTCCCCGCCATCCAACTCATCTTCGTGGCAATGCAAGCATCCCTCATAGTTTTCTTTGCTGTGAGATAAGCGGAGTCGATGCCAGTGATGTGTTCGATCTTGCCAGCTAGGTTGAACTTCGACCCGATACAATACCAGTCCCGATCGAAGAAGGCAAGAACTTTGGGTGCCAGAAGTTCCTGCAGCGTCCAGCCTCGTGAGAACCATTCCGAGTACCGCGGTCGTCTTCCACTGTTCTCAGAGCCAGCCACTCGAAATCCAGACGCTCTCGTCACATCATGTAGGTAGACGTAGCACACTTTGACGCCACGGTAAT